ATCCGTCTGGATCTTTCGTTCACTCGGTCTTTCGTTCAACTCGTTCATCGGTTTGGGTCTTTCGTTCAACTCGGTCTTTCGTTCACTCGGTCTTTCGTTCAACTCGTTCATCCGTCTGGATCTTTCGTTCACTCGGTCTTTCGTTCAACTCGTTCATCCATCTGGGTCTTTCGTTCAACCCGGTCTTTCGTTCAACTCGGTCTTTCGTTCATTTGACCCGTTCTTTCAGTCAACTCGGTCTTTCGTTCATTTGACCCGTTCTTTCAGTCAACTCGGTCATTCCGGTCTTTCAGTCAGCTCAGTAGTACTGCTGCTGCTTCTCTAAGCCCCACCCACACACAGAACGAGGCGCGACGATAGGATAAGACAGGCAAGCAGTCCCTCTTCAGCCAATCAAAAGAACTGAACGGATTGAACGGGTCATTTAGGGGGGGAGAACTAGTTCATTTCGTTCATCAAAAAGAACTAGTTCTTTTGATCCGTTCGTTCAAGACCGACACACCACTATCAGGCATTCATTCCAGGCCGGTGCTGGCTGCATTATGCATGGCTGCCAGAGCCTGGCCATCTATTGAAAGCCAGGAGAGAGCCACAGTATCTCTCCAACAAGCATGTAGTTCTCTCAAATAGTCGCCTGAAGGGGGAATGGAGAATGCAGAAGAAGCTCGCCTGCACCAGAAGCCAAGCTAGTCTGCTGTGGAACGTCCAACTGCAGATGCTCCAAGGCTGTGAGCATAATAGCCTGCACTGAGCTGTCCATCGTCTTGTTCAACGAGCTCCGAGCAGAGGATGGGGACCCAGGTTCTGAAAATCATCGAGGCCCGACCAACCCCATCATCTTGGAAGTGACAGGCTGAAGCCGCCGGAGAAATGACATTGTCCTCTGAGGCAAGCACTGGCATGAGTGGGGGGACGTCCCGGCCCCCTCTGCGGGAGTGGCAGGTTGACGATCCTGTGGCCAGACACAGCGGCAGATGTACTATGGTGCTTTGACCATCTTGGTTGGAAAGAGGGCAGCTGTCCGGGGGGGGGGGCTCCAGCAACCCTCAGTGCCTGACACCACTGTGGACAAAGTGGTACTTTTTATCCTTTTGCATGATTTTTTTTCTCTTAGCAGAACACCTAATCCTTGTTCTTCTGAAGATTGGAATTCATCAAGAATGTTTTGCTAAATTGAACAGAAATATCTGTAACTGCACCAGCACAGGGCAGCAATTATAGACTTTAGAAATAACTAGTGAAGAGCAAATCCTCACTCGACTCATTTGCTTTTGTTGCTCAGAGAAAAGCTTCAATGACAACTTTAACCCATCTTCACAGAAGCTTCAAGGTCACTCATATCCATGACTATAACTACTTTAATAGTAAGACTGACATGTTTTTTTTATGACTGAATCACTTCTTTATATATTCAGCTTGGAAAACACCCTTTTACACGCCTGTGATGAATTTATTGGCAGTTCTCACATCCCTTTTCTTTTAATTTAGTTTCTTTTTAAAAATGGTTTTCTGAGTGTAAGTTAAGAAGAAGTAAGTCAGTAAAAAAGTGTGGATGATGAGCAATGCTGGTGAGTGACAAAGACAGTATATTGTCCATTAGATAATGCTTCCATTATCTTAGTGGTGTAAAATTATGTTTTGACTTTGTTCTGCACTGTGTGACCCACTTTGCAGTGCAGCTTTTAGCAATAATCATATTTGGTGGGCCTTAACTATGTTTCAGCAGTTCCTCTTCATCTATCAAAAGCTGATGATGAGCTGACATTTACCAGCAGCACGTATGCACAACAAATAGGCTTTCAAGCAGTTTTACTGATGATGCAGTAAAGGAGTCGTTGTTTATAGCCCATTGTGCACCACAGGGTAATGCACCTTTGTGATCAGAGTATGAGAGACCAAGCTTACAAAGGCAACAGAGGGCAGATGATGAGGCTATGGAAACAGTACTGAAGAGACCTGGATGGTGCAGTGCAGAAGATCTGCTCTGAGCTCCACTGAGAAATCATTTACACGTTCAGCTTGTGTGAGTGAGATTGACTTGACAGAGTTCAGTTTGTTACAAGTCCTCAGAGCTATTCGCATATATAGAAAGAAAGCCAAAGTTGGATCACAGCCATTCATGGGACTGTATTAAAATTGCCCGACTGGTTCCTATGTTCATTGTTTACAATGAACCAGGAGTTATTTGGGCTCACACGCTATAGGAAACAATTCAGCTCCACTCTCATTAGCAAACACTTGATTTGGACATATATTTTGGAAACTAGTTCATATATAAGCTAGTTTAGATGTTTGCACCAGTCTCTGCAAGTTTCATGACTAACATCATTGTAAGCGCCCCTCAAGTGACCTCACATGACAGGGTCACTTAGCCAAATCCTTCATTCCATCCATAAGCTCATACTGCTCATCCGGTTTGTAGCTGCAAGAGACGGGTGTTCATTACATCTGTCATTAAGCAAGAAGAGGAGTTCTCCTCAGACAGGTCACTAGCATTTCTCAGGCATACGTGTGGTGACACATGACCATTCTCACACTTTAACACCTAGGGCTCTATTTTCGTGCCTTGCTGGCGGCGTGGCACAGGCGTGGCATAAGTCAGGTCCGCCGTGCTGATGAGGCATGCCCAAGCACACTTTGGTATTTTAGTGAGTGGCACAGCCCGGCATTCGTATCCCTCCTCCCTAACTCAGCTCCTCCCAGCGGCGTAAGTGGGAAAGAGGGAGGGGATAAGGCGTGGACACAGCCAAGTCCTGTTTTCACCAATCACATCAGCTCCTCTCCCCACCTTTAAATCCGCCACTGACAAGGCATATTACAATTTTCGTGAAGTAGTCAAAGAGATCATTGCTGAAGACAGCAATACCACACAATGGCAACAGAAGGAAGCCCCTCAACAAGTGTTGTGGTAAGCACTGCGGAGGGCTTCCTCCACATTCTCTCAAATATGCACAGGGGGATTTGGTGTGTGTAAGGTTGTACCCACTGGTAAGACAAACACCCTTTTCCACAAACAAAGACAATCAAATAAAGTTGCATATAATTAAACCCCACGTGACAAAGGTGGGGGTTGTGTGCACAGATCACAACATAAACAAACTCCAATAATGGCATTAAAATTGGAACCACCTGTGCGTAAAGGACGCATTGAACTCTGTGGCCTGGCTCTTTCTTTCATTGATGTTGGCATATAAAATAAATTTGGCTCAAGTAACTGAATATTATATTTGTATGTGAGCCTAACTCTGAATTAAGTATTCACAGAATTTTAAGGATGTGAGAATATTGCATAAACAGGTAATTTTGAATGAAAGTTACTTATTCAAAATAATGCGCTTGAACTGAGAGGTTGTTGCAAGTCTGGTCTCTTTGCATTATCTGTGATTTTTTTCTCCATATTTTTGTTGTCATTTTGTTGGCTGCTGTTAGATGCTTCTGCTGGGTGAAGAGTTTACTCAAGAGAAGAGCTACTGTCATTGAAGAAAAGCAAACAACATACAATTCCATAGGACATCAGGAGGTGTTATTGTGGTTGCCGTGCTGGTGCAAACGTGAAAGCAAAGCTGAATGATAGGAGGTGGCGATATAAACCCTTTCTTCCATCAATCATCATGGGAAACATCAACTTTCTGCCCAACAAAAGCGATGAGCTGGAGATACTGGTGAAGACTGAGAAAGCATACCATGAGTGCAGTTTCCTGTGTTTTAATGAAACCTGACTGAAACAAAACAACTCGGACTCCAGTGTGGATCTACCTGGCTTCACTCTCATAAGGTCAGAGAGAGATGCTCAAGCCAGTGGCAAGAAGAAAGGAGGAGGTCTGGCTTTTTTTTGTCAACCAGAGATGTTGTAACCCTTCATACATAACTGTCAAGGAGAAGTTGTGTTGTCCAGATATTGAAATGTTGGCAGTTGCTCTTCGGCCATATTATGTTCCAAGAGAATTTAGTCATATCATAACAATAGTTGTTTACATTCCACCCAAATCAACTGAAGAAATTCCGTGTGATGTTTTGCAAAATAGTGTTGCCAGGCTACAGACTCAACACCCGGAGGCACTAATAATAATATCAGGAGACTTCAACCATGTCACCCTCTCCTCTCACCTGACTGGATTCACACAGTTTGTGAACTGTCCTACCAGAAAAAAACAAGACCCTGGATCTGCTGTATGCCAACATCAAAGAAGCCTACAGAGCCACTGCCTTACCACCACTGGGCAAGTCAGATCATAACTTGGTCTATCTGCAAACCTGTTACAGACCTTGTTTACTGAGGCAGCCTGTGACCAAAGTCAAAATCAGAAGATGGACACCTCAAGCCAGTGAAGCTTTAAGGGACTGTTTTAAATCAACAGAGTGGAATGTGCTGCTGGAAACAGATGTGGATAGTATGAACATTGATAAACAGGTTGACTGCTTTACTGATTATGTCAATTTCTGTAGAGACACAGTTATACCCACAAAAACTGTTCGCTGTTTCCCCAACAACAAACCCAGGATCACAAGTGACATAAAAGCAATCCTTAACCAGAAAAAGAAAGCTTTTAAAGATGGTGACAAAGAACAACCCAAACAAGTGCAACAAGAGTTGAAGAGGAGACTGAAGATGGCAAAGCTGGAGTACAAAAGAGAAGATAGAGAAGAATCTACAACACAGCCACATCCGTGAAGTGTGGAGAGGAATCAGTACCATCTCTGGACACAGCAAAAAAAAGAAAAGACAGCCAGTGGTGGGTGATGTGGAAAGAGCTGATGAACTCAACCTGTTCTTCAACAGATTTGACACTGCTGTCACTCCCACTGCCACTGCTACTCCACCTTCCTCTCCACAACAAATCTCCACTACAACTTCTCCCCTTCCTCCTCCATCTTGTTCAAATGTCTCAACCACTTAAACTGCCTCCCTCCTAGAACACCAGTCCTTGTCTGTCACTGAAACAGGGGTGAGGATGGAGCTAGGAAGACTTTGTCCTGGAAAGGCAGCTGGTTCTCAAAGACAAGCTCACAGAGATGGGAGTGGATCCTTCCTGTGTTTCCTGGATCACAGATTACCTGACATGAAGGCCACAGTTTGTCAGGCTGGGGAACTGTGTTTCTGGGACATTAATGAGCAGTACAGGGGCTCCACAAGGGACAGTGCTGGCTCCATTCCTGTTCACACTGTATACATCAGACTTCAAATACAGCACTGAGTCCTGCCACATCCAGAAATACCCAGATGACACCGCTATTGTGGCATGTATCAGAAATGGACAAGAAGCTGAATACAGAGATCTAATAAGAGCCTTCAGTGACTGGAGTCACTGCCTCCTCCTCAACACCTCAAAGACAAAGGAGATGGTCATAGATTTCCGCAGATCCAAACCCCCTCTTCAACCAGTGAACACCTGTGGAGTGGACATCGAAGTGGTGACATCATATAAATACCTAGGTGTACATCTGGATAATAAGTTGGACTGGTCTAAGAATATAGACTTCATCTACAGAAAGGGGCAGAGCCGCCTCTTTTGCCTGAGAAGACTCTGATCAATAGACATCTGTAGTAAGATGCTGCAGATGTTTTATCAGTCTGTGGTGTCTACAGTGTTCTGTTCTACGCTGCAGTCTGCTGGGGAGGAAGCATCAAACACAAAGATGCAAGACGTCTTAACAAACTGGTGAAAAAGGCTGGCTCTGTGGTTGGACTCAAGCTGGACTCAGTGGAGGATGTGGTGGAGAGATCTACACTGAGGAAGGTGGAGTCTATTCTAAACAACATGGATCAGCCACTTCACAACACCTTGATGGACCAAAGGGCCAATGGTGGTGGACAGCTCCTCTCTCTTCACTGCAGGACAGAAAGATTCAGATCTTTTGTACCAACAGCCATCAGACTTATAACTCTTGTGTAGTAGATAACTTTTGGAGACATATTATGTGAGACAACAGACAATTGAATTTCCCTTCGGAGATTTATAAAGTTATTCTATTAATTTTTCATTCAAATTTTTAAAGCAAATAACTCATCTAACCATAAAAATAAATCATCTGGTCAGCCATGCCACCGCAGTAGCAGCAGGACAGGAAGAGGACACGGAGACATGTTCGGGTCGAGCTGCACGAGAAAGAAATGGAAGAGAGATAAAGGGGGCAGGGGATGAGTTAAATATCTTTTTCACGTCATCATGTGTGACTATTTACTGGATATTTAATTTAATGTGGTTTCAGCTGTCTTATTTTAGGCAGGTTGTGTGTCCAAACGTGTGCAAAACGCGCTCATCAGATGAGCTAGAGATCAGAATATATCGATATAGATCTAAATGTATGTGCTGACTCAGATAGTTGCACTGAATATCGGTTGTTGTTGATTACTTATTGCACTGAAATGTGCCTGACACTGTGGAAACCTGCCGGTGAAGCATTGGTGGCATGTGTGCACTACGCCGCTGGTCTACTAAAACACCACTAGACCAGCTGCAGCTGAATTATTTTGTTATGTGAACTGATCTTGCAGCAGCCACTGAATGGTTAGTGATTTTTTTTTATGTTTTCAAGATGGTAACAAATCAGAGGCATGGCTGACTTGACTGACAGGTGGGCACTCCATGGCTGTTGGCGAGGAGGCTAAAGACCCTCCTTTCAGAAAGGTTGAGCCAAGGTTAGGTTGAGCTCGCATTTCCAAGATGGTGACTGTCACCAAAAGGCTTCAAAACTTCACTTTAGAAACAAATGGGTGATGTCACCAACACTACCTCTGTGTGTTAAAGCATCAATAAAGAATTCAAGTACAGCTGTTTAAAAAAGTGTTTGCAGGTGACGGATCACAGCCACCCTATAACACTGATCCTTCTGTTTGCTCCAGATAACTGACACTGAACCACCTACAGCTCCTGAACTGCCAGAATATTTGTCTGTGTGTTGTGCTTAGTGAGTTTTTTTTATAAATGTATCAATCCTGCATTATCATAATGTCTAAAATGAATAATCATGGAGCAGGTCAGAGACGGCAATGGTGATGTTAAATAATTCACATAACGAGCATCAAGGAGGTGGATCAGAAAGGCTGATGTATTAACATTTATGAACCCTGCGTCCATGAGCAAGGCAAGACAAAGTCACACTCTAAATGGTAATGTAGTGTGTGTGTGTGTGTGTGTGTGTGTGTGTGTGTGTGTGTGTGTGTGTGTGTGTGTGTGTTTAGTGGGCTTGGTAAGTCACAGAAGGCCTGGCCTGCCTCAGGACGGTACTCATGGCTTGGTGTGAAAGATATGGGGGTGGCACTGCCGCACAGCCTGAGAGGATACACTGTCTGAGGTCTGAGATGGAAGGAGGACGCAAAAAAGAGAGAGAAAGATATATCCACACATACACACTGAGTGCAGATAGGGAGAGGGGACAGAGGGAGAGTCAGGAGAGGAAGGGAGGAAGATAAGCGCCCTAGAGGGTGGGAGAGATAACGACAGATAGGGAAAGCAGCATGGAGGCTGAAAGTGAGCGAGACAGACAGACAGGAAGAGAAAGAGAGAGATACAGAGGAGGCGAGAGGCTGAATTTAATAAATTAGATCAGGCGCCTCGCTGGTTTCCTAGCAACCCAGACAAGACAAGCCTGATCTGGCCTGGTCTGTGCTCCAGAGTAAAGGTCTTTCTCCTTCGCCTCTCTGTCCATCTCACTCTGCCTGTCTACCTCCCCCTCCTCTTTCTCCGCCTCCTCCTCTGCTCACTCATATCGTCGCTGGATACAATCACTGTGCCAGTCATTGTTACAGATGAGTATGTTTTGCAGCAAATTCATGCGCTGAGGTAAAAGAGTGATTCACCCTCAGATACTCTAAGAAACAGCACTGTTTCCTCCAAACCAAACCTCTGCTTAGTTTGTTTAAGGATACTCTTACTCTCATCAGCTTATTGGATCTGCACTGAGACTCAAGTGTGTACTGTATGAAAGCAAATATATGACGTCCATACAGACTGATAGCTCTTCAAAACTGTAGATAAAAATAACGATACAGCTCTTCCTTCATGTGGGTGAAAAGGGGAACTGGGTTTTGTAATGTTTGTAAATTATCAGTGTTGGACAACCACAGTTTGGTGACTTGAGTCAAAGTAGCATTACTTCTGGTCCAGTTTTACATACAGGAGAATGTTGCTTAGTCATATTAACTGAGTTAAAGAACCAGAGTACTTGCTTTTAAGGCTACTAAAAGCCCCTATAGGAGTTTTGACACATAGGAAATAGACTGAACTTCACATTGATGCCTTTTCATGCTTTCCAAAAGTAATAAAGACCTTTAGTGACAAGATTGACAATTTTTTATTTTCTAATTTTAATGCCAGTATAGGGTGTGAGAGGGTAGGTGTCAGCCAAGCAGCTGGAGAAACAGCTATTATTACTTATTACCATGGATGGTTTGTCCATAAGGACGTTTGGGCAACGCGCCACTAAAGAAATAAAAAAGGATTTTTTTTCATTTATATTTCATCATATTCTTCCGCAGTGTTATGGTGGTGGTTGTGACAGTTCTAGACAGTTTCAGCAGCTATATACTGTATGTCACTGTCCAATCAGCGTAAGGCAGTGCTCCATGAGGAACCACCCCTTTCGGATGATTTTGGTCAGGCTGAAAATCTCCCTAAGTGCCCACATTGACTCTAATGTAATTTTTTTTTCTAATTTTTGGAGTTACACTACGATCTCTATGGGTTCCAGGGGGGCTCACCCCAACGGGCTTTCATCATACGTAATGTGTGGATCAGTGTTGAGACAAACGCATTACAAAGTAACGCGTTTCTGTAACGAAGTTATTTTCGTCAGTAACCAGTACTGTAGCGCGTTTTTATTAAAATTCTGTAACTCTGTTGCCGTTTCTTCATGGTGCGTTACTGCGTTATTTTTGAGTTATTAATTTCATGCAGATTATGAGCTGCAGTGTCCTCTGACTCCCCAGCTGCTGCAGTCCGAGAAATCCCCTCCCACCAGGGACGCGTGAAGAGACAAAAACAGTCATGGCGGATGCAGAGAGTCGCATGCTGAGTTTCTCCTCATGGAGATATTCTCTCTATTTTACTTTCATCGAGCAGAGAGAAAACAACATCTTAGTCAAATGAAACTTGTGTCGTGGGTCCAAGAGCCTATCTGCTGCCCGAAACAGCAATACCAATCTACTGAAACACCTCCAGAGAAGACACCCTGGGACGAAGCTAGTAGCTAGGCATCCTCCTACTGCAGACCCGCCATCTGACACAGAGGATGGCCGTCCACCTCCACCCAAGCAACAGCAGCTAGACTTTAACCGAGGGACTGTTAGCCAGGGAAAGGTGGATAAAGCCATTGCACGTTATGTTGTAGAAGACATGAAGCCTATTTCTACTGTGGAGTCGCCTGCTTTCAAACATCTAGTTGGCTTGATACCGTGTTCAGGCGGCCATGGCCCACAGCAAATGTGCTGAAAAACTTGGAGAAAGAGTACACAAAAATGGAAATAGAGCTCAAGACAACTCTTGAGGGGCTTGACCACTGTTGCAAGAGTTGTTGAAATACCTATGACTGATTTGAGTTCCATCTCTGATAAATTACATGAGGTCATAAATCCCGCCTCCACCAGCCATCCTTATGGGGCTGTGGATAAACATATAAAGTTATTTATTACAAAGAACAACATGAGGTTCCCCACTTTGTGAACAACTGCGTGAGCAAATAGTCGAACAGTTTAAGAACAATGTTTCTCAAAGTGCAACTGCAAGGAATTTATTTCTGTTTTTATTTATGTTTATCACAATTTCCCAACTTCAATGGAATTGGGTTTTGTACTTCTACACAGGCAGACAGCTTGCTGCACGGAGATGAAGGCCAAGCCTGGCTGTTACCTCGGTCTAGGGACAGCCATGGTAATCTCCATGGTAATGTTTGGTCCCATTTAGTCTGTAATCCAGGTTTTTGTAACAGCCCCCAGTTTGTGCTGTTAACCTGAAACTGCTGTTCACTTTTGAATAAACCACCATAGTTAGAGACTGATACTAGAAGTCTTATTCATGTTGACAAGCTTGTTTAATGTACATTGTCCTCAACACAAATTGGCCAGCATGAACATACAATAATTTAAGTTGTACCATCCTTAATAAGTAAAAGAAGTCTTGGAGATTCTGATTCTACCTACCATAAAAACACGTGGTATTTTTGCCATCCCACCCACCCCTAGAAGTGGTCTGCACATTGGAGTTGTTAGGTCATCCAGGTATATTTTGCTTTTTAATCTTTTGCTTATAATTTTGGTTCTCCTCTGTCTGTTGAGCTGTCTCCTAACATGCCAATGAGCATTTTATAATAGCACATCAGTCCTTGGACTGCTCATCTGCTGAGCATCCATAAATACACAAAGCTTTAAAAGACTTCAAGAAAAGGCTCTGTGTACAGCAAACATTACACTCTGCAGACCCTTTTGACTGCACAGCTATCTCTCTCTGAAATCTCCTCAGCCAGCATCTAAATAAAGCACCAGAGAAAAAACAGAAACCAGCCTGTGTCAGGACGTTACTGACTTGATAACCTCTAGTTCACAAAGACTTAGGGCTCTATTTTCGTGTCCGCCTCAGACACGCCGGAGGGTGGCGGAGCCTGGCGTACAGCCAGTTTGGTATTTTCATGGACTGAGGCGCACCGAGGTTCGCCAAGCTGGGCGTGGTGGCATGGCGGGGGAGGTGTCGACAGAATCAGCTGGCGCAGTGACATTTTCGTGCTCGCTGCTGGCGTGTAAAGTGCGCTGAAAGCTTGCCGATTCAAACCTGGTCAGCTTTCAGCGCAGGCGGAGCGCAGCTGGTCTAGTGGTATTTTGGTAGACTGGCGGCGTATCGGCATACGTCACCGCATCCTC